TATAAACTATGCTATAAACAAAAAATTGTAGAATTACTTACCGAGTGTGCACCGTTCGACGTCGTTATTGCTTAAGCTTGTTTTCGTCGCGGAGCAGCGCACCAAACGGCGGACGCGATTTCTGATAAGTTATTTTTCTGCGAAAACTTCGTTGAACTTTGGAGACATCATTAATATAAATAATTTTTATGGCCGTTGAATAAGAAATGTTTCTTTCACAAGAAATGTATAAAATTAGTGCTGTATTAGACTTATGGTACCTAATTTACATACTCTAAAGACGATAGTAAACTCAACTTACTCGCCTAAACTCTCCGTAGCGTGGCGCTGGACGGCGGAAAGTAGTTCGGCTGCCCGATGACGTTTTACCGAATTATAGGAGTTTTTTACCAGGTTTGTACGGATACCGTCGCAATTTTTTCGCCGTCATATAGGAAACCGAACTATAGGAACCCGTGTTATAGGGGGATCGACTGTATTATTACTTACGTTATTTGTACTGCCATTATATTAGATGCAAAACAATTAATTCAAATTTTTTAAAAAATGATATAAATTTGAAAAATTTCAAAACAATAAAAATATGGATGAAGAAAATCAAGTAAATATCTAGTTATTTAATAATATTTGCTACATAGGGCCATGATTCTCATAAATATTACAGAATATATTTGTATAAAATTACAGAAACAAAATACATATCTAAACATCAACATGAAATATGCAAAATACAGAAAATATAAGGTAAGTATGCTAAGATAAAGAAATAATAATTTCTAATGTTGAATATTGCAATCGAAAATATGTATATAGTTAAATATGAGTTTAATAACAGAGGATAACTTTTGAGAAAAATATAGAAATTTACGGCTACTGTAGTTTAAATAACATTACAGTGGAATCTAGCTACACGCGGTTTCAGGATTATGCTATTGGCATTCTGAAATAAAAGGAAAATAAGTAAAATAAAAAAAATTCTTAATTACTCGCCATATTTCAGGTTTTGTAAAGTCTCGAAGCATCTCGCTCAGTTACGTTCATTCACGTTATGGGGAAACTTTACTGTCACTCGTTTCTTTGCACTAAACACTGTCTGGTCTACCACATAGAGGAAAATTTCCCTAATTGCGATTTAATTAACTCTTCAGGGGAAAAGTGTGGATATTGAGGAGTTGACAGGCAAATAAGTTTATGAAATAAAGGGAAAACCTCTGAAACTTTTACAACATTTACTACAGATATACTATGCAGACAACAGTCTTTACTTTTGAACTGGATATTGTTGAGAAGGTTGACTGGTGGCAATTTCAACCATAGTTCTCTCTTGTAAAGCGTCTTGTCTGTGTGAATTAATGATTCTCTTATTTATTTACGAAAATTACTTTGCAAACAAGAAGAAGAGAGAATGTTAAACTTTTTACAAATTATTTTTATGCTTTACGGTATCATGCTATTTATTGTTAATGTATTGTTCATTTGCCTTATTTATATAACATTATGCATTAGATATGTCTATATAGAAATTACTTAATAATTAGTTGGGTTCGTTATATTACGAAAATTTACAATTCTTGGAGCGTATTGGTTGCATATGAAAAGGTCCCACTCTACATTATTTACAAAAACTTTTTTCATTTCAAAAGAAAGCTTGAAATACTCATTTTTTTTTCTCTGTCCTTTTCTAAATTAAAAGATAATAAATTTCAACTGACGTATCATCTTATTTTTTCGAGATTTAAAATATAATTACTATTACAAACATTTTATTAAACAATTGATTGCAATTAGTTTATTTATTCTATTTAAGCATATTACTCCATCTAATTTAATACAATTTAAACAAAATATGGATAAAAATTACTTGTAGAATAAATATCTTAAAAAAAATTCTTCAGCTTTTATTAATTAAGAAGTGTATTATAAATTATAATGTAATTATCTTATTTCTGTTAATTATCTTCTTATCAAATTAATTTAATTCATTGCGTTTAATAATTGAATTTGTCAAATGTTGAAATATTTGTCTTATAATTAACTACTTATCAATTATATATTCAATGGAAATTAGTTCTAATATATTTTTTAAAATTTTATAATCATACATAATTATTTAATTCATATTGTTATAATTTAAAATAAATAAACAGGATTTTAGAATTGTTTCAAGTTAAAATAAATATTTAATTTTTATTATTTTTTAATACAGTAGCCCCTCGTTATATCGGGAGACAAAGAAAAAACGCGATATATCCGAGTACAGAACTAAAAACTCTGGGCTTTTACTAAACAGATTATACATGCTATGGAATCTGTATCCTCTATTCTTTCATTAGCAAGTGTTTCTGATATGAAATAAGCTTAGTTTCGCAATACTGAAACTTATCCATGGTTATATAGTATTAAACGACGTTTACGTAAACATCGATACAACCAACGCCCATTTGGCATTATTGTTTCTTTAACAATGACATTTAAAGAAAAGTACTGTCGATATAAAAACGAAATATCAGTTACGATCTTATTAATATATTTCCTATTAAATCGCTTATTAAAAATTTGTGTAATTGTATATTTTTCAGTAAAAATTATAAATACAGTAATTAAAAGTTTAAAAAGTAAATATTGAACATATAATATTAAAACTTATATGATTACAAAATAAAAATTCTCTAAAAAGCAAAATAAACTTATTTCTGTATAAAAATTCTAGAACTTTCCGTTCAGAAATAAATTATCTTTATCTTACACATATGCAGTGAATTCGAAAATTCATAAAAACTTGTAAATGAGGATACAATACTTAAAACTAATAAATAAACAACTTTTATCATCAAAAGGAAACCTAAGTGATAATTGACCTGTCCATCTGTTTGCTTATTTATATCTTAACGAATTTATTGTTTCACCTACAGTGGTAATTTCAAAGACAATGGTAGGAATAAAATACGGTATTTCGTTGTAAAGGAAATTCAAGGTAATTTAAAATTTATTGACTCAAGTACTTTTAAAATTTGGGGACAAAAAATAAATAAAAAAATCGAGATATAATGACGGTCTACTGTATTTAAAAATATACAAATTTTAATATTTTAAAATTAAATAATATAAAATTGTCTAGTTAGACCATTTTATAATTAAAATTTATGTATACTGTATATAGAGGCCTATGATGTCAGCTACCTTATTCACATAATTCTAATTTTAAAAAGTTTTGCGAAACATCTTTAAATTTATTAATAAATTCTTTCATTTAATAAAAGCAGTTCGGTTAGTCAAAAGCTCACATTATTAAAAAATATTACGTGAAAAATATATTAGTCTTTCAATAAGAATAATTTAATAAATTTTACAACCGCTAACGGGTTAATTCTATGCTTATTAGTTTCTCATTAAAGATATTTTAAATAACCAACGTTTTATTTTAAAAACTATATTAATGACTTAATTAGAAAATTTTTCTTCCTGACATTAAATGCTACATAGGTTCCCTTGAAACTACAAGGCAAATTTTTAATTCTTGATGAGGCAATTAAATAATCATTTTATAACAGCTCATGAAGTATAATTAAAGTATTAATATGTGCTTTGCATAAATTAGATTTTTAACATCTCTAGAGATTTCTCCTTCAAAATAAATGTTTCACTAATTATCTTTACTCTTAACAACGTCTAAAATAACTTTCTTTACAGGCGTCCTCATTATTTAATTTCTATTGTAATTTGCTACTTCATTTGGTGGCAATCATAATAAAAATTTTATATAGTCTTTCACAGTGTTGTCTGTTGTCATTTAGTTTTATTAATAATCCCTAAGTGATACGTTACTTTTCAAATATTCGAATAAACTTGTGTAAAAGTAAGTCAGTAACGTTAAATAATTCATACATATATATTTGAAACTGAAAAAATAATAACTTTTCTAAATTATACAGATAAATTTCAAATATAGATCAGTACTCTACGAATGCATTTATTCCCTATTCCCGATATCGTAGTTCTTGTTAGTCAGAACTTAATTTATTTGTCATCAAGTTAGATTAAAATAAAACTTTTCAATTTTTCTTTAACCTCTTTCCATCAATAATATCTTTCTTTTGAGACATTACAATTTTAACTGTTTAATTTTACTTTGATTTCTCTTAAATAATACCAATAGACCAACAGTTTATTTTCTTATTTTAAAGAAAAATTTTTTTATCTCTCTGACAGACACTACTATTAATCAGAGCCGAACAACCAAATAAAATTGAGGTACTCAATTAGGGTGGCATTGTTTAACACTTGGTAATAAGTCATACGTTGAGTTTAAAGTATATTTGTTGTATATTTAATACTGTATAATTTACAGTTATTCAATAAATATTTATTACTAAGTTTTTCGTTATAAACGTCTTTCATTGTACAATGTCTGTGCAATGTTTTCTTCGTTTTTGCAATT